ATATTAAAAAAATATAGGATAATATATATAATCCTAACATTCTGTTCCCACATACAGTCCCTGAACAAGAGAGTGATTTCTACTGGATATGATGCATTAACAAGAAGCCTGTGAAACTCATGAGACGCTGAGCAGGGCCGTATCTGTTGCAAAACAGTATAACTTATATTACCAACCGGCCTTAGGTAAAACATCCATTTTCAGCATACTATACCACTATAACTGATTCTCTTCTCTAAAAGACCAATTTTTATTGGAACAAGCACTAACACATTCTTACCTTTTTGTATCCCCCTGTAATAAACTAAGAGTTCAGTATTGTTATTCCAATGGAGCTACAAATTCAGATAGTGTTAAAAACAAGTAACAAATAAAAAAAAAATAAATCAAAGTTATTACTCAAAAATAAGAGCGGCAGAGTCAGATCTATAAGAAAATTCCATCAGTATTATCACATCTTAAAGAAATAGATCGGGTGGTATACATACTTTTCTGCCTGGAGCTTTGTGGTTTTTACTATCAAGTCCTGGGTTTGCTCCTTTGCTGCCTAGAATACAATTAGAATCATTAAGCATATAAAACCCACAAACATATCAGATGTATTATACAACCTTTAAAATATATAATACTTTTGAAGCTTTCTGACCATAAGCAGTTTAAAGAGTGTACTCTTTGAAAAAAAAGGCCTTCTTAAATGAAGTATTCATTAACCCTCCCTATTTTCAGGCATGAGAAAACACATTAATATCCTTGTCCATATATATTTTCATCTTTTTATACATTTATATTCACGCACCATTGATAAATTTATGTTTAACACAAAAATACTATTATAAACATTGGAAACTGTTCTGATTATCTTGTTTGTCTGTTGATTATAAACTGTTTGCCATTACAAAACGAAAAATGAAACAAGTTCCTTCAGATGCTAAACTACCCAGTACCACTGTCTATCCAGACATTTTTGACAACATGAATACAGCTATGCTGGTCTAAGCAAGTTTAGCTCCACTGTCCAAGCAGCTTATAGAGCTATAAGGACTAAGAAGGACTATTAGGAAAAATTTTTTCACCAAAAGGGTTGTCAAATACTGGAACAGGCTGCCCAGGGAAGTGGTGGAATCACCATCCCTGGTGTACGTGTAGATGCAGTGCTTAGGGACATGGTTTATTGGTGGACTTAGCAGTGCTAGGTTAACAGTTGGACTCAATGATCTTAAAGGTCTTTTCCAACCTAAACTATTCTATTAGGTTTTCCAACCTAAAACATTCTATGTGATGAACATTTAGTTCATCACAGTACTAAATGTTCAGTGATGCCAATGGGTTCAGTAACCCATGCAGAAACAATTCTGTTACAGACAGAAGGCATGACTAAAGGGATTGCTGCAACTGAAGTTAAAGATTTCTCAAACTTACCACTCTGCAAGAACATAAAAGACATCAGGAGTTAATTTTTCCCACTGGACAACACCAGTGATCATTTAGACAGAAAAATAAGAAGATTTAACCAAACAAAAAATCCTGAAATCAAAATGTGTTCAGCATGGAATAATACTGCAAGTGAAGAGGTGGAAACAGCTATAAACATATTCTGCATGAATAATTTCACTAAATTATGGTGTTTGCCAAAATGAAGATGCCAGTCTTGAAACCCATGAGAGGTCTAATGCAAGAATATATACACAGTGATTCACTTCAGCATTTCTATCTGCCACACTTCATTAGTTACAGTGGAAAAGCAGTCAAGGTACTGGAATGCTTTGAAAGGTGAAAGTAGAACTGCAACCACTCAAGTACAACTTTGGTCATCAGAGGGAGCCTAAGCTGTTCCATGAATAGAGACAGTGGGCACCACTGAGGTGCAGTTGCTGAATTTTCTAAAGGAAACTATTACGGACTCGCATGCAAATTTGATAAAAACTCAACAAAATTTACAGAACATTTAATAGTTCCAAAATAATTTACCTTTCAGTTTTTTATATCTCATACAAATTATAACACTGATGGTTTTTAATGTATTTGTATTATAAAATTTTTTTTAATAATATTGATTTTCAATGCTTCAGCCTAAGAAAAAAAAAAAAAAAAGAAAAAAAAGACGGTTACAACAAAAGACTAGACCTGAACAATTCAGTATGGAAACCTACTAATTCCAGACTGGTTTCTTCCCCCCTTGTTTCAGAGTTTCAGATTTTAATAAAACAGATAGGCAGAAGAAATTTGCTTCCTTTCCAGTACCTTCTGGACAGAAGTACTGATTGCCAAGAAGAATACCAACTGCAGCACAGCAGTAAGGAAGGAAAAGCAGGTTTTTTTAGATCTAGGTAAATATCAGGAAGGCAGTTTTTATTTACATGCATTCAAGTGCAGGCCAGATACTGTTGTTACTGGATCTATGTGATGCACGAGCTTATATCTAACCAAAACAAGGTAACTGGTAGAAAAGAGTCAGATATGCCAGAAAAAGAATCGGAAGGTTGCTATTTGATGTTTCTTGCAGATCCAAAACAGAAGTATTTTTCTCTTCCTTCCCACCTCAGTATACAAATTAAAACTTTCATTATTCTTCAACCTTGCTTTAATCCATTGCAGCACTTGTTTCCTTCTCTCCCTTTCACTGCATTTATCAGGTCACTGTCCTGAAATCAGATCTGACTGGTTATTTGGATTGTGTGGTATTATAAACTTATAAAATAAAAAAAGGTAAAAAGCTTTTTGGCTTATCAATACATAGTCCCTTTCATATCTTGTACTTGTTCTGCTCTCTTAACACACTGCTGTCTTAGCACACCTTTCTGCCTTACATGCTATAGATCCTTCTCTTTGTATCTTCTGTTTGCGCTAGTTAATTCGTTTCTGTCTTCTCATTCAGCCTGAGCACATGCTTGCAAGTCTTCGTGTTCTATTACAGATAAAATACCAGAGTATTTAACAGCCTAATGCTAGTTCATGGGCTTATTAACTTACATTCATGCAGACAGAGAAAACATTGGTTGAACTGATACAAGTTACGAGTTCTGCAGGGCTGTAGAAGAAATCTCCTGCAGGGCACAGAACAAAACTACCTACTGACTTTAACAGAAAAAGAAATCACTGCAGGGTGGCTCTACTCTGGAAAAATATAATCACAGATGATAGTTACACTTCATGATCTAACGACAGAAAAGAGCAAAAATCTGCATGGACACTTGACTCACTTCCACATTTAAGAGTTTAATCAAATAGTTCCTGAACTGCACTAGGGAACACATCCACATTAACAGTGTTCAAAGAGATCCGAGACCTCTGAGGTGCATTATCTATTGCTATCACAACTGAAAATTAAGTACTGCAGAGGGCTACACTGTACACTCACAGTTTTTGGAACAAGTTCATCAAACTACAATCATCCTTATGGGAATTACAGACAATGACTATGAAACCTATTCATCTAAGTAGGAGGAAACCTAATGTACCCACACACACATTAGGAGGGGAAAAAACAATTGTTGTCACAGGATTTTTTACTGATGGGTTTTCATCCACATACTACAGCTTCTGTGCTATACTCAGAACAGATCTGGTTTAGCAAAACATCCACACTTCATCATCCATAAACGTTTTAAACTCATCACTGTATTGAACTTGTACACTAAACCCAAGCCAGATTTAGTAACATATTATAAAACACAACTTTTTTGCCCCCTAGAATGCTGTGGATTTGGGATTAATAAGAAACAGAATTGGTTTTGTTGCATATCAATATTCTGAAACACTTATGAAATAAAACCAAGAGAACAAAGACTGGCACACTAGACTTGTTTCCCTCTCTGGATTAGAATATACTTTCTTATGAATATACTTGAGGTATTTATATGAACACATAACACAACAGAGGTAGTCGGTGAGAAAGGCACACAAATTTTAAATTGAAATACACAAATGTATTTAGTCTCACACACATCCAATCTAATAAAATATCTTCCCTCCACTCCTCAAACGGGTATCACACTGCTATTCTCAAAGTAGGTAAATTGCTACCTTCTGAAGTGCAATTTAATATCCTAAAGTAATATAACACACATACTATGGAAACATCTTGGTGTCACTGTTAGTACTCCAACTTTGTGAAAGAAAATAGTTGCATGTCAAAATGAAACATATACAAAGAACATCTATTTATATATTTATATACTTATATATTACCTTCAAACGACTGGACATATCTTCACAGCAGCTGCTCATTGCTTGCACATCTTCGTTTATACTCTCAAGCTCCTAAATAAGTTCAAATATCAGTAACTCTGTTTTAAGTCAGAAATGCCATGCCTAGGCCCAACTTCATCCCACCAAAACAAGATGCCCAAGCTACATGGTACAGATTTGCTCTAGACTCCCTGTTAATCAACAAAGAGAATGTACCTCTAAAAATCAACATTCACTTGGGATTTTAATCTGTTTGACACATCATCTCTCTCTGCGCAGGACTCTCACCAAATGAAACAAATCATTCAGTACAGTCCTGGAAAGTCAAAATCTCTCTTAATGTTTTTTTCTTTGTTTAAATTTTAAATTACATAGCAGTACTCTTGCAAGACAGCTAGTCACACTGTAAAATGCTACCTCTTTAACTTGCTTGAATATGTGAACAAATTCTTCATTTATGGCTAAGCTTCGTCGTTCAATGTCTCCACGCAAGTTTCTTCGGGTGCGCAAACTGTTTTCAACAAAAAAGGTTGAGAGAGCCTTGAGTGCTTCCAGCATTTCCTAGGAAATAAAACAAAAAACACTTTAACTTTCCACACAGTTACCAAGAAGCTGGTTACATCTTGTGTAACCATCCCAAATCCATGGTCTTATAAAAACCAAAGAAAAACAACATTATAACTGGATTTAGAGTAAAAACTACCCAAACACACTCCAGATTAGTTGGTAAACAAGTAAAATAATGGCTGAGTCTTTCTTCTTATCATAGAAACACCGAATCAACCAGTTGGAAAAGACCTTTAAGATCACCAAGTCCAGCCATTACCCCAAGACTGCCAAGACCACCACTAACCCACGTCACCAAGAGCTTCACCTACACGATTATGAGCACTTCCAGTGGCGGTGAGTCCACCACCTTCCTTGGCAGCCTGTTCCAATATCTGATTACCTGTCTGTGAAGACATTTTTCCTAATACCCAAAATTTTTCCTAATACCCAAAGGACATCCTTGTATGTCATGACGCAGAACTTTGACTACTATTTTACAACAGCCTTCATCAGTAAGATCACATTCGGTTAAAGCATGAGCTAACCACACTTATGAAACATCTCAACCAAACAAGCCTGAGAAGAGCGCCACGAGCTACGCAATACAAACCTCCCTCCGATCCGAAGGGATCGGGCAGGTGCGTGGCATGTCAGCGGAGAAGCAGAAATGAACCTGACTCTTAATGAACGCTGCAAACGTCAGGCTGCGCCTCCGCAGCGGAACTGAGGGTACGACCGGGCTCGCTTCCCAGCCCCGGAGCCTATCGGGGCTCACTGC